TTTGGTGCCAAGAACAACTAAAATTATTTTTGTGTAACCCGGTATATTTTATAGCCACACACACACTCGAACAACCTACAGTGATCTGCAACATAAGTTTTGGTACCAAGAACAACTAAAATTATTTTTGTGTAACCCGGTATATTTTATAGCATTGGAATATATTTTATAAAATAATCCAGTCTAAATTATTCGTGAAGGAGAAGAGATTTCTGAATTAACAGTTTGACTATGGCTGAATTGATTGGTCCAATATTTGTAAATTTAGATTTTTACGGAATTAATTGATGTTTTCGGAAAAATCAATGTCAGTAAATTGTGAATTTTGTGACAAATAGAAGTTCTTTTCTATAGTATATATAGCAGGTATGAGACTTGGAGGGCCCCCTCTGCGGAAAGAAATTGAAATAAGAACTATTTTGCCCCCTCATTATATTGTTGACCCAGAACGTTCTAAGCAACAGAATTAGGTGGGTGAGAGGGGGACGCCATGAGCCTCCGCTATGCAGACACAAGCCTCCCAGACTTGTTAGGCTAAGAATCACAAAATGTAGAAGGAAAAGCTTGCGAGTTATGTATGATTTCATAAACTTTATCCATGTGTTAACTATTTTTTTTGCTCGCATGGACACTTGTTTTGCTCATTTGAACTATTTTTTGACTCATTTAAACTTTTTTTTACACATTCTAACTATTTTTATGCTCATTTGAACTATTTCTGGTTCATTTCAACTATTTTTTGATCATTTGAACTATTTTGGCTCATTTGAACTATATTTTGGCTCATTTCAACTTATTTTTGGCTTATTTGTACTATTTTTTTGGTTCATTTAAACTGTTTTTGGCTTATTTTGAACTGTTTTTACTAAAAGATAAAATGAACAATATATAGTTAAAATGAGCAAAAAATAGTTCAAATACTCACAAAATGTTATCGTTTGAGCTGTTTGTCGTTTGAACTGTCTACTACGTGCAATATATATATCAAACGACGATAATGTTGATCCGCTCTACTGCCCATCCGCTATAACTGCCCACCCGACCTACTGCAACATCTGACCTACGCCAGCTGTAGGTCGGATGGGCATATCTTCTTGCCCATAGGTCATTCAGCAGCTTTTGTCATATGCCTAGCGCAGTAGGGTATGAAATAATTAATTGTAGCTGTCGGACGGCCACTCAATTTTGTAGGTCAGATGGGCACTTTGTAGGTCGGATGGGCATTTTTCGTAGGTCGGATGGGCACTTTTTGTAGGTCGGATGGGCATTTTTCGTAGGTCGGATGGGC